TATGATTAGATAAAATTCTGAATATTCATAATCATTTATTATTTTTAACTTGAAACGCATTACACTTGCCGTTCTTGTGATCAAGTTAAATATTGTTACGGTATTACCAGAGAAACATATACTGGTGCATACGTACATGCTAGTGACTCGTTATGCAAATAAAGGAGATTTACAAAGTTATTTGAGCAAAAATTTTAAAATAATGAAATGGAGAAAAAATTTGAAAATTTGCATGGTATAATTTGTGGCTTGCGATTCATCAAAACCATTTTATACATCACGATCTCCATCCTGGTAATATATTACAACATAGTGATGGTAGTGAGGAACGGACTATAATAGCGGATTTCGGATTATCTCATTCATTAATCGATCGAGAAATACACCAGGTAAGTGGTCAATTTTATGAGTGAAAGCATACATTGCTCCAGAAATTTTACATGGTGGTGAATATACATTTGCAGCGGATATATATAGTTTTGGAATGTTACTTTGGATTGTGGCAACCGGTGAGGCCCCCTTTTCTGGTAGAACAGATGATATTCACCTCACACTTGATATTTGTGGTGATTTACGACCTGAAATTTCAAGTGGAATTGCTCCCGAATGCTACGTCCATTTAATGAAACGTTGCTGGGATTTAACTTCCGCTATACGCCCCACTACCGAAGAAATTTACAAGCATACACGAGCTTGGGAAGTGTCCATGTACATGCGAAAGAATAAAGAGACATATGGATTCAAGCTGCCATATAGAGCTTAAAAAAACTACAGGAGAAACTTTTACAGCCCAAAATTTCATCACTCAAATCAAGTAATACGAAGTCTTACGGTTTATATGTCAATATTCTACCTAAATCAAGAACATTTATGAATGAATGTATAGAATCACATTTATTTAGCCTTGCAATCAGTATTTCAGAAATGACTTGTTCGTCAAAGAAGCAAAAAGATTTTCGGAATTTTTTCGCAAACTTTATCATAAAATTTTAAACTCAAAATTTATTGATTATTGAAGATATTTATAAACTTCATAGCAATTTAATTAGCCATAATATTGATTTAACAGAGTTGACAGCTCATATAGTCCAATGGGGAAAAAAGTCATTGGATTATTACCGTGTATGAGTCCATCGTTGCAAAAAGCAATCTGCAGTTTTTATAGATCAAAGCGCGAATATTTTGCGATCCTCCCACTTTGAATAAGAAATTCCTGACAGAAATCAGGTGATTTTTATTTAATACCCAACACCTGGCGTATTTATATGTGATTCAAAACCTGATAATTTAGCTGACTCACTCATGTTATTGATTTATCACATGATCTAATTTGATTGGTTGGCATTTATTATAATTCAGGTTGGCTTGTTATAAGGTTGAATTATTATTAATTCGTTATCATGCAACTAAGCAATTGTTCGAAGTTTCATTATTTATTGGTTGAATACAAAAAACGTGACACTTTATCAATTGAAACAAATCATGTAGATTTCCCTCATTTGCTGGCGTAGCTGTTATCACTATATACTTTACTAAATTTGGTACTTTCAAGAGTTCTCGATCAAATGGAAGTTCTCACGTACATGTACTTTCTTTACTTGTTTGAAGTAAAACATAACATAGTTCAAGCTTTCCCACAACATTTTTTGAAGTGAAGTCTGGAGATCAGTCTCCGTGTATTTCACAAATAGCTATCAGTCATACCAAACAAATTACCCTTTGCAACAAACATTTCTGCTAATAGAAAAATAAATAACTGTCAAAAGAACGTTTATTAAAAGACGTCTTCGAATCTTAAAAATCAATTTTCATACACGTAATTCACATTTATCCGTTAAATTTCAAGATATGGCGTCAAAAGAAAGCGAAGAAGCTTCAAGAGTGACTTATATTGACATTAACATTAACGTTACAAAATCAGACATCTGCAAATATTGTGGTACAGAAATGAAGAGTTTACATTGGTGTGAGAAGTGTGAGCATGAAAAATTTAAACAAAATTTTAGTAATTGGACAAGTGGAAATGAAGAATATGACGAATTTATACAGAAAACACAATTAATGTCTTCAAACCAGCGTGATTTTTTTGAATTCATTCCATATGATCATTTTTCCGAGATTAAACAAATCGGTAAAGGAGGGTTTGGAACGGTGTACTCAGCAATATGGAAAGAGGGACCACGATGGACTTGGGATGAAGAATATGGATGGCTACGAGCTGGACAGACAAATATAGCGCTAAAACGTTTGAATCAGAGATCCTCAAACCACAAGCATTTAATGCACGAGGTAAGAAAGTCATGGAGAGCAGTAACATTTATTAGATAAAATTCTGAATATTCACAATCATTTTTAGCTTGAAACGCATTACAAATGTCGTCATAGTCAAATCTTGCACTGTTATGGTATTACTAAGGAAACATCCACCAGTGCATACATGCTAGTAACTCATTACGCAAATAAAGGAGATTTACGAAGTTATCTGAGCAAAAATTTTAAAATAATGAAATGGAAAAAAAAATTGGGAATTTTATATGATATAATTCGCGGCTTGCGATTCATTCATCAAAACAATTTCATTCATTGCGATCTCCATCCTCGTAATATATTACAGCATGCAGCTGATGACGATGAGGAATGGACTTTAATAGCGGATTTAGGATTGTCTCAAACAATCGATCGAGAAATACAGCAAGTAAAACTTTATGGAGTGAAAGCATACCTTGCTCCAGAAATTTTACGTGGTGGCGAGTATACATTTGCAGCGGATATATATAGTTTTGGCATGATACTTTGGATCATGGCAACCGGTGAGGTTCCATTCTCTGATAGAATAGACGATGTTCACCTCCAACTTGATATTTGTGATGGATTACGACCTGAAATTCCAAGCGGAGTTTCTCCCGAATGTTACATCAATTTAATGAAACGTTGTTGGGATTCAGATCCTGCTAAACGCCCAACTACTGAAGAAATTTTTAAGCAGATACAAGTTTGGAATATGCCCACACATATGCAAAAGAAAAATGATAAATATGGGTTTCAAGCTGCCGACACAGAGTTTATGAAACTACAGGAAAACCTTTTACAACCTAAAGTTCTATCACTCATATCGAGTAATACGAAGTCTCACGTTTTTTATAATGTTCGATCTCTATCAAGAACATTTACAAATGAATATATAGAATCGCGTTTATTTAGCCTTGCAATTTCGATAACTTTTTCAGAAAAGACTCGTTCGTCTAAAAAGAAGCCAAAAACATTTCGGCATTTGTTAAAAGTTTTTCGCAAATTTTACAAATTTTATCATAAAATTTTAGATTCAAAATTTATTGATCGTTTGAAGATTTTTATAAACTTCAAGAGCAATGATAATATTAACTGCTAATACTGTATATAAATATTTATTATTTGGAAACATACATAGATTTTACAACATCATCGCTATAAATATCTTTAATGCGTTGCGTGATCTTTATCGTTATATAATATAGGAATTCTGGAAACAAATGTTGAAATCTTCGAGTACTAATTACTTGGAATTTATTATAAAATATCAAAAATAAAACCGGCTGGTTCCAAGTTTTATTCAACATCCAACGTTTTATTTTATTATTTGCAAAAAGTACACAGTGAAAGTCGATATAACGGAACCAGCTATAAATAACATTATATAACTTTTGTCTGTTATATATAGCAGAGCTACGTATACCTTTAAGTGGCAAAAATTTATCTTTGTAACACAATACATGTATATCATCAATCTTTACTATTTTTAATGATAACGCATACACCAACTTTGAAAGAAGATTGTTTCAAGGTTTTTTTTGTTACAGCATTAATATTAAAAATACAGATAGAGCATATCTACCTACCATTACTCTTTTTCTTAGAGCGTTAAAATGGTTTGTCTTAAAAATAAAAGAAACAGACAAAATGAATAAAATTCAGATCTATCATATGTAAAACATTCTATACATGTATTACCGTTACCGTTATCGTTACCGTTACGCAAATTCTTAATAATTTTAAGGGGTGTATAGCGATAGATGCTCGTTACTCTTGATTTAACCCCTTCAAAAAATTCTATCTGAATCTTGAGATAATAGTTCAAGAGAGGTGATTCACTTCGAAGAATACGAAAATACGATTCGACAATTCCGTTTGGGCAGCCAAAGATAATGACAGATACGTGAAATACGCTCAATTGCTTAACAAATGTAATATTTTGATTGTTATTATGATTGGTGGAAAAACTTTTTTTGGCATGTTTTTAGAAATTGAATACATGTATACGTATGAATTCTTAAATCTATAGATTTTATATTTTATCGCATACAACATTACGTACATGTACTAAGAGAGTATAGGGTTAGGGTAACGGGTCCTAAAATTTTTAAGGTTATATTTTCGGTCCCACTATTATTAAATCTGTTGCGCTAATTTATTAAAACCCATATAAAAGTTGGAATCTCATTAAACTTCATATAAAATATGTATGTGGTTGTTATTTTGATGTCATATTTTCAAGCTCGCAAGTTTGTCATTGCATGAGAAATTAAATTTTATAATCTCGCATAAAAAGTAGTATTTAAGTAATGAATTGACATTCCAGCTTTCCATTTTTTCTTGAAATTGCAAAGCATTTTAAGGCTTCAAAAGTATTCTCAAATGTGCCATTAGGATGATTTCGGGATTCTGCGTAATTGAAATAGCCCTTGAATGCTTCGACTCCGTCTTACGTCCATCCTTAAAAGTTCCAAGTCACGACGCTAACATTTGTCAAGACGATAGTGCTATGCTTTTGAGATCTTTGATCACAACGAAAAATAATTAGTTGAATGAATTATTATTTATCATTCATTTGTCTAGTATTTTTTTTGTCATTTGATAATAATTTATTAAGGATTCAAAATAACGATATACGTAATAGTTATTGTCCAAAAAAATCCGCTGTCTTCAAAAACTCTATTTCCTCGATGCTCGATTCACGACCGAGAATATTATTACGATGTGGGAATCGTCCAAATTGGTCAATAATAGATTTATGACTTTTTGCATATTCGTAGAAAGATTTTGTCATTTGAGCGTAGAGCTTTAAATTCGACATCAAGAGTGGATGTGTTGGTTGAATTTGCATATCAAAAAATTTGAAATAACACGAACTATGAAAAAAATCTAACTTACAGGAAGAGCAGTCTCGTGATTCCATTTGAATTTCTCTACCGATGATTCTTGGTCACTATTACTTTCCGAATGCTCTAACGGCTAGTTCACCACACCAATAATAATGGAAATAAATAAGCAAATGTGAAAGAAAAATGAAGGTAATAATACTTGCCATATACAAAAAAAGACGTTCTATTGCATTCAACTTCTCATCAAATTTGTAATTAATCGCATAATGCGCAACTTGCAACGCCAACGGATCAAAGTCGCGGAATGGAATCGCGGTTTTTCGGTAAATGTTTCGTGGAAATTGGTCGAGTAAGATTGTGAGAGTTAGTGCGTACTATTTTTTTTTAGATTAATACGAGAAATTTTAGGTTAATACAAGCAATTTTAGTAATACGTACAAGAAATGTTTAAAAAAGGAGATAAAACGCGGAGAAAATTTATGCATAACAATAACGATACCAATGCATTGATGATAAATAAAATGTTAATATTATTTTATGAGACAATACATTACGTACCTCGGGACTCTGTTTCATCTCTTCAATATAACTTCTATTCTCACGGATATCCTCAAGAACAGCTGCATAATTTGCACGACAATAGTTGTCGACTTCACCGCCTCCGAACCATGTTTTTGTAAGATCTTGGGTTAACGGTGCGCCGTTTTTGAACCCTTTTTAGATAATGATCAGAAATGAGAATTTAAGTTCGGATTCACTAACACTAACGCTAATTTCTCATAAAATTTGACCTTTAAACCAAAAAGAATAAATATTTCGATGCAATTGGCTTGCCAACATCTTTATTTTTATTTGTTATTAAAAAACTAACGCACAGATCCTACTTGTACATATCGGTATATCACTGATCCATTTGTATTTCGAAAAAGGATGAGATGTTACCGTTATATGTGTAATTTAAATACTGTACAGTATACCGATACACCTTCCATAAAAAGTCAAATATATGATTCAAATAAATATCGACACACCGAAAAACCTCGGGAATGAAATTCTATTGACAGCTAGCGTTAATTTATGCACGTGCGGTATGCATACTAACTTCGTTTTATTTGAATCGCGCGTTTAGAATTTAAACCAAACACAGTTTAGCCTACTGAGTTGGAGCAAACAATGCAAAGATGCGAAACTTTGTTTTTACAAGGAGGAGCTTTTTTATTTTTTAATGGTAGTTTCGTAGTTAAACTCTCACACGCACATGCAAATACACATACACGTTCTTTATAATAACAGACGAGAGAGAAAAGTTCTTGAACATTTTCTTCGTTATCACTCACTCTCTCTCTTGTACCAAAGTATTATTTTGGTCGTTTCTCAGTTGATCTTTCCTTGATTTTATTCTAGTTTGGTTGATTAAATGCTGGTCTTTCAACCAAAAGGACAATAAAAAAGATAACAAACACCCAAAATAACTATAACACAAAAACAATAACGATAATAATAATAACAAAAAATTATCGAGTTACTATTGTGTGAAAAAGAATCCTCTTTTTTAACGTCTGTTTACCTTTATTAGTTGTATACGTGTGTGTGAGAAAACAAATTTCCTATTATTGTAATACTCGTTTTCTATTCAATCAAAATAATCGGATAGAATTTTTCAAGCACAACAAAAAAGATGGTTACCACAAAAATTATGGTCACTACAAATAGTACAACAATATCATCCACAGAAAAAGAATTAGCATTACAAGAAACTCAAACAGATCTCAAACAATGTGTTGCACTAATACAGCTCGAGAAAGATCACAAAATAAATAATCCTCCAGTTTCGGTGGATACAATAGAATCAGATGATAAGGACGATGATGATAGTAGAAGTAATAGTAATTCTGCTTCTGATTCTTCTTCTGATTATTATCCCATAGACGAGCTAGAGTTAGTTACGCTTTATGAGGATGACGATGATGATAGTAATAATTCCTCGAATGATGCTTCTTTGATGGCCCAAAATAACAGCAATAACAGCAACAACAACAAAAAAGATAAAGACATTGTTCAAATAATAGCTACATCTCCAAAGTCTCCAACATTTTCGCTTTTTCCAATGACACCAAAGAAATCAGCATTTAGTGTACTAAAAGACGCATTCTCTACAAGCCGCCGACCACGTGGCGTAAGACATCTAGAGAAAATGTTTACTGAACTTGGTGTCCCAATACCAACCGGACAAGATACAATCGTGTTTAGCGGTTACGTCGTGAAATGGACGTCAAATTTATTCAAAAAGAATTCCAAGAATTTTTTAGTGTTGACTCACAATTTCTTGTGCCAACTCAAGGGGTCAGAAAAAAAATACGCCGAGAAGTCATTTGATGGATCACCTGATGTTTGTACGTTGTCTTCGTGCATTGATGATTATTTTTCGTTACAACCATCTTTGATTTCACCTGCTATCTCGTCTTTAGAGTCTCCGAATGATAAAGTGATCACCCTGGACAATATTATTCTTAGCCTATCGACAGTCTACTCGATTAGTCAACAAATCTCACCAGAACCAGTGATTCGAATTGATTACTTAGTGTCATTAAAGAAACACGCATATTTATCAATGGTATTACAATCACAGGAAGAGCATGATCAATGGATAAAAACTCTGAGAACAGCAGCCCGAAATGTAAATACCGTTGGGCCTTTGCTGACCAAGAAACAACGAGATTGGGTCACTGACCGATTAAAGAATGTTAGTGATGTCGATGTCGATGTCGAGGAAAATAATTTTGTGGCATTTCGTGTGTTGATGAAAGCATTTTCGGATAAGGGTGCAATTTCGGATCATGAAAAACAACTAAATTTACCGGTGATGTTTGTATTGGGTCGTAATAACGTGTATATGCTACCAATTAAGAATAATGATGGAACTCCAAATAATGATCACAAAAATAGTAAAACTCATCGATACAATAATATTAGTAATAACACCAATCTCATATCGAATCATAATATAAATACGGAGGATAAATCGAAAGAAATAGACATTTACAAATATCAATATCCACTTCTTTGTCTGACTGCAATCCATGCGGATGGAAAAGATGATACTTTTCAATTGGTATTCAAAAACAGTTCCGAATTAATAATGCGAACGATGCTCCTTTCTTCAAGTTTATGCGAAACCATCGTGACCTCAATTCGAACAGCAATTGACGCCATCACAATCTGGTGGCCACAACCGTGTTATCAATTACACGTGCCAAACGTAATGCAAGGAACAATGATCCCACAAGAAGCTGGCAAAAAAGAAATCAAAGTTTCCGGAATTGATCGAATGCTCGAGGCACAATGTTACGTGTTTCGCGTGAATCGTAAGCGAATTGCGTATTCTATCGAGTGTGCGGTCAACTCGAAACAGATTACTCCGAACTTGGACGTTGAGCATTTACCATTTAGATTTGTGCTGTTGCTTCCAGAAGATAATACAAAAGCGAGTACTTATACAAACGCGGAATTGATGACGATCTTTAGTTCATTACGATATCATCCTCTATTACATGAACTTATATTGCAAGATGTTAATTTATTTGATTTACAAATACAACAAGGGCCAGAAGGACATAAATGTGCGAATATGCTTGCCGCCACGCTTTATGATTTGTTGTTATCGAATACAAAGCTACGACACTTGAACTTGACTGGATGTGGGATAACTGGTGATACTCTATCGGCTATTGGATATGCACTAATGACTGGACGATCATCGTTAGATCGACTGGTGTTGGCTAATACGTCATTGACTAGAGACGGTGCTCAAGCCCTAGCAAGTGGAATCACGGCGCATGGAACTCCAATTCGAGAACTTGATATATCAAATGGTCATATTGCACAAAAAAGCCTCGAATCGATTCTGGACGCATTAGATACGAATTTCCCGGACCAATTGGAATTACTGAACCTTTCAAAGAACAGTTGTGATCTGGAATCGGACATTCTTGTTGACTACCTAGCAAAAACAGTCGCCCTAAAGAATTTAAATCTTCGTAGTTGTGCAAAATTCTTCAAGTCAAACTCACCAATAATATCAACTCGTTCTTTGGGCAATACTTTATTGACAACGTTGGATCTTGGTGGTGTACCACTTAATCATCCTGTTCACACAGCAGCATTATTCGAATATATGAGATCGGATGCATTCGCTTGTCTGAGATTATTCAGCATTGATCAATGTAGTTTTGATGGCGGTACATTGGCTGCCATTCTATCAATCATCGCCACTGCTCCAAACAGAAATAAACTTCGGGTATGGGCTGGTGCAAATAATATTTGCGAATCCGAAACCGGACACCAGAATTTTTGTCAAGTAATCCGAGATAATCAAACTCCATTTTGGTTATCAATGATCGATACGACATTCGGTTTGAATTCAGACCAAGTTATTGAACTGATTCAGGCATTCAATAAGAACACTTCTATTAAGTCACTGGACCTTTCTTATCCTCAATTCGGTGCAGAGAAAATCGACGGAAAACCGAATCCGATGGTTCCAATAATTACTAAAAAAGCGTGTGAACATATCGGGATTTTATTTAAAGAAAATAAGTCTATTCGTGAAATAATTCTACGCGGTGAAGGGAACAGACGATGGGGACCTTCACTAGGCTTTGCACTGAATAATCTCGAGGACAATCGAACCATAGAAAAACTTATAATACGCGGAAACGCAATCGGCGACGACGGTGCAAAACATCTCTCACAAGCACTAAAAACAAACTCACATCTTCGTATGTTAAATATTGACGAAAACGAGATTGGAGTCGACGGCTACGATTCACTACACATTATTCTCTCCACCCATCAGAATATAACCTTACAAGAGTTCACGTACCCTGCGCAAGATATTCAGACGCATGTTCAGAACCTGGACACAAAGATCTCGATCATCAACAGAGAATCCAATTTGTTTAGCATTCCGACTACGGCAAAGATTAGTGCTCGGATGGCATCCGAACGACAGAAGTTTAGTTTTCATGAATTGGTCGAGGAAATTATGGCGGTTGTGAAGCTGCATAAGTCGCAGGCGGGTGCTTGGTTAAAATAAACTATATAAACACGCATTATTCATATTTTTTCTCAATTAATACTGTATTATATTTTTTTTAATAATTAATTATTCGATCTCTCCATTTTGTATTTATTTATAATACAGTCGTAACCTCCATATAATCACACCTCGGGACCAGAAAAGTGACTTTAAGAGGGTGTGACTGTATGGAGATCAAATTTCCTACTTCATAATAGCTAGGGTGTGTATGGCTGTATATATAGATTTCATTTATTATATTTTTAAATAGTATATTATCCCAATATTTTATATAGTATATAATAGCATAAAAGTTTATTTACGTGATTTTTTTTCAATAATTTGCTTATAAAAAATTTGAATGAATAAATCAAATCAAATAATGGCCATATAAGTGTCTTTTTTGACCTAGAAGTAGATTTGCAATAGTGATGACAAGGTGACATTATTTGCGTACTATTAAAGAACCATTGCCATCAGATATAAAATAAAATAAAATTAGTATAATAATTAACATATAATAAACAATAGATCATAGAATCATTCATTTACCTTGATCTTTCCGTTTTTGTTTCCGTTAAGCATGCCGTTAAAGTCGTCGTTGTTAACATTTCCGTTGTTGTTTCCGTTGGCAATGCCATTGTTCAGGTTTCCATCACCGATTCTGTTGGCAGTACCATTGTTTAGGTTCCCATTCAAATCGCCGTTATTGTCACTGACATTTTTGTTTCCGTTAGCGAGACAATTGGCATCATTGTTTGGTTTCCGTTAACATTGCCATTGCTGTTACCAAGTGGTTGCCGTCATTACCATTGGAATTACCCTTGTTTTTGTTTCCGTTAACATTTCCATTTTCATTGCAGTTGGAATTTCCTACATTGGCTTTTCCGGATCCATTTCCATTTCAAACTCCTGTTGTCGTCTCCGTTTCCTTTGCTTGAGTTTGAGAATAGTATTATTGTAGTAGTTGTGGTGAGGTTCAGGCTTATCAGGCAACGGCGATTGTTAAATTGGTAAGCTTAATGAGGGGGTCCACTAAAGCCGGGTAGTATCATGTGATTTTGAATCTAGATCATGTGAAAAATTCACGTGATAAGTAATAATTGGCTGAATAATTTTGATCAACAAATAATCGTAATAAGATAGTTTCATGTAATAATACTAATAATTAATTCTTGAGTAAATTCACACTAAAAGTATTAATCATAAAGTTTGCAAGCAATTTTACAATATTTCTGATTAACAACAAAACTAATTGAACAATTAAAAATTTTATTTAATTATAATATTGTTAAAAACAATTTTCAAGATCACTTTCATATTTCATTTGAAATATCAATGAAAATTATCAAAGAATTTATTGGATCTAGTTGCAAGAAAATCAATATAAAGAAATAAATATCCGAAGAACTCTTATTAACTTTAGTCAATATCAGCAATTTTGAAAAAAATACCAAGAAAAATCGGTCAACTTTGAATGCTTATATTTCTTTTGAATATAAAGAATATTTGTCTTAATTTGATAAATCAAAAGAATTTGAGTTCGCAAAATTCTAAATATAGTTTAACAAGATATTGTTGCCTTATAAATCATCTAATACTTTGCAATTTTTCATATATTGACTTTGAATATCAATAACTTAACCAATTTTATTTATTTATAGTCAGATTTTTTTTATAATGTTCACATTAAATTAATACTTTTAAGCTGATATATAATACTTATATTATAAACTTTAATATATAAAGAATTTTTAAATCATTAGAAATTGAAATATCAATACAATATAAATCAAATTTGATATAATTAAACCTTTTTATAGTTATCACTTTTAGGAAAGCAAAATTAAATAACTATAAAGAGAATATGATTATAGAAATATTTTTTTATTATATTTATATATAAATAAAAAAGCAAAATAGAATAATTATAGAAAAATATGATTATAAATAAATATGACTATAAATAAATATGACTATAAAGAGATTGACTATATATTATTATTATTTTATATAATTTTAGCTTTGTTATAAAAGAATATATGAATAATATATAAAACTAAAATTTAAAAGATAATTTATATAAACTAACTTAAGTATAAGAGAATACTAAGTTATTAAAGATAGGTTAACAGATATTCATTTTGTGATCAACTAAAATAAAATTAGAAATATTCAAAATAGTATTTTTTTAAACTCAGTTTATAAATAAATAAAGTAGTTTTTATTTATTTATTAATTTAATTATATTATAATAAAAACAAGAAATTAATTACAAAAATTATAACTTTATAATTAAGACAAGTGATTATAAGAAAATACTAATCAAAAAAATTATTAAAAAAATAGAAAACTAAAATTACTTTTCAAAACTATTTCTTTTATTTAAGCTAAGATATATATAATATTTATAAATATTTGATAAATAATAAATAATTATTTAAAGTAATTACTTGAAATAATTATTTGAAATAATTACTATAATTATTTGAAGTAATTGTTTAAAATAATTATTTAATGTGAATAATCATTTAAAATAATTATATATAATAATCATCTTCATAAAATATTAAATCACAATAATATATATTATATAATTATAAAGAACTTTAACTATAAATGCAAAAATAATCTTAATTATAAAATTATAAATTGTATAGATTTGATTATGTATTTCAAAAATATTGTTACCATTCTATCTTTCATCAACTATATTATGTTATATTTTTAGCGCAGTAATATCCATCTAGACTTTTTCTTTTATTTTTACTTTTCTATATTTCTTATATTTTTATC